CTATAACAACGCATACCCTCCGAGTGGTAAAAGTGCAACTACTACAGACTCCCACTGTTAAGGGATATGATTTAACTTTTTGATTGTTTTTTCTTTTCTTCTTCCTCCTCCAAGCTATCCCATTTGGCAAAGTCCCCATTCTGGAAGTAGATGGAGTCATCATTCACCAGAGCCTGGCAATAGCAAGATACCTTGCCAGAGAATCAGGTAACACATATTTCACTATTCTCTTGCTCAGTTCTGCACTCACCTTTAATGCTCAGGAAAAATAGACCCTACCACAGCAAAAAATACAAACAAACCAACAGCTTGGCAAGCCCAAGCAAGCAGAGGTCAACACCAGCATGGCAATACTGGTACTAGGGCTTTTCCCAGGCACAGACAGCTAACAGCCTCTTGCTGTGTCTGTAGCTCATCTGCCAGCACCAAGTGCTGAGCACAGAAACACGGCGTACTGCATAGGATGCCGTTAGAGGTGTTGCTCACAGATCAAAGGTTTAAAAAGCACTGGGGAGAGCTGTGTGCTGGCATGCCCATGTTCAGCAGCCTTCCTCACCATAATTTGGTGCCAGTTTTGCTCAGTGGGTTGGGGCTGCAGTGGCAATCCTGATGAGATCTCAGGCTACAGCCCCTGCCGTTTCAAGATCAGAAAGAAGAACCAGAGCAAGACACATCTGCTAGGATGTTGTATGAGAGGATTTAGAGTTACCCGAATGTCATGTAGAAAGCAAACAAAAAAAAAACCCAGACAAAAAAGAGGTTCAAAGTAACAACCTGTAGCGTGAAATGCTACGATGTTCAGAGTTAAAGCCGCGTGGCTGAGCTGTATCTGCACTGTGTGTGTGCTTAAAGGAAAACTCAGAAATAACTCCCCCTTACATTGGATTGAGTTTCCCCTCTGCATATAATACCTGGGGTTTAGTCTGACTTCTCCAGCCAATAAACTTTATATTCACCTGTCACTGCATGACAGAAAGTGTGTAACTGTGGCTTCCATAAGGCTCTCAGAGCAGTTTCCCCTGGAGCTAAGCTGCCCGGCACACCAGAGACATGACCAGGAGGAGGTGGTTTTGGAAGCATTAGAGATTATCACGGTCAGCAGGCAGAGCACTCCGAAGCAAATTTAGGCAACAATTCTGAGCTGGCAGGCAGATTAGCTCAGATGGTGACATCACTTGCATCTTTAAATACTTACATGCTACAGAAGTACTCGACCAGTTAGATAAAGTGATGTGTCTCAGTAATGCAAGTAATTAAAGAGAGTAATCAGGGCTTGCTTTAGGTCAGCACGCTGACATTCAAAATCATCTTAAAAACTGGTCTGGCTGAAGGCAGGCGTGTTCGTGGTGTGCTGAATATCAGCAAATTGAAGAGGGGGGCTGGGAAACAAGTACTATCCTACTTTTTTTACACTCTGAGATGTAAAGAGGTGTAAGCTGCTTTTCAAAATATCTCTCATTTTCCAACTGAGGAAACAGGCAGAAGCGCAGAGTGTTATTCTTCAAGGCAGTAGCACAAAACCTTTTTAAGTATGACTGCAATACCATGTTCCTGCCAATTTCCTCCATCCTTGATACAATCTACTACTAGCAAGAGAAGTGAATGACGAGCGTCCACCTGGTAATGAAAAGCGATGAGAAAGCCTGCCTTCCACCTACGCTGCCTCCCTCACCGTCTCCTATCTGGAGGCTGATCTGGAGCTGTGCTCCTTTTACCGTCTGAAGCTCTGACTTAGGCGTTCACCCGACACCTTTTCCATCAGCTAGAGATAGCCAAAAAGGCTCGGGTTCCGGAGCACACTCAGACCATGCTGTTCTCCTTTTGGTGTTGGCCATGCTGTCAGCTACAGCAGGAAAAAGAGCATGCATGGAAGGGGGAAAAAAAAATAATCTTTTCAACTTCATAGTTAAAACTTACTAGTTCTGCCATTAAGCCTGCATACATGTCACTAATCCTTTAAAATGAAGAAATGGCATTTTTAGGTGCCCATCACCAAGAACTCTTTACTGAAGGCTCACAGAATTCAATGCCCAAAAGGAGAGGCACACCCCTCACCTTCAAAAGCATAAAGTTTCAGCAGGGGAGATGATTCAGCAGAGGAAGAACATATGGTTTATGGGAAATACAGGGCTTCCAGGTGAGGTTTAAAGAACAGATAGGAAGAGAAGGATGAGCTGAACCTACACAGAGCTGAAAGCATGAAGGCAGGTCTGTGAAATGAGAGTGAGCAAAAAAAGTAGTAGCATTAAGATGACTGCAGGCAAGCCAAAGGACAACCGGGGAGGAAAGCAGATTTGCAAACATGACGAAGTTCAGCTAAGGTGCCTGACTGCAATGAAGTAATCAAAAGCAAGCAGGATGTCACAAGAAGGTTCTAAACGTGACTGAGTGGGCAGGATAAAAGCAGACTTTCATGGAAATACTTCTGGAGATTGTGTTGACCAAAATGGAAAGACTACGAGATGGGAGAAGGACATTGAAAGCTGGGATAGGAAAAGATTAACAGAAAGGACTTAGTGCTGACCCCCACTAAGCATGCTGGGATGGCAGAAGGCAGAGAGAAGGATAAAGAAGCGGTATTCAAGCTGTGGGATCAGGTGATGGAAAGAACAAGTAGTCAAGCTGTGGGATCAGGTGATGGAAAGAACAACTCACTACCTCGGATGGCTGTATGAGGCTGGAGGGGGAAAAAAAGCAAGGGTAGATGAGATTGCACCTGGATGCAAGGAGTCAAATGCATGCTGTTAGCATGAAAAAAGCCCTGGAGAGCATGTATTTTTATGGAAAAGTTCACAAAGAACAGATTTACCTTTGAGATATCAAAAATTCCTG